AAACAAATTTTCGATTTATGACAAGACAAATGATTATTTGTCGAGATTTTTTTTTCATATTTTGATAGATGACAAGTGCATATAACCCATACTTTATTGTAAGTAACATAAACGTACTGATGATGATTGTGTGAAACTATAATCTCTCTTATGTATTGATGAGAAATTGATTTTCAATGAAGAACACAAATCTCTGAACAATAACTATTTTATTCGGCTTTACATTTTCACTAAAAAAAAAATGAAATTATTATTCTATAAGGTAGAAGTTTGATCTCATTGATGGTTTTATCAAATAGTTTCAATATTTGACTTTTACTAACAGTCTTTAATCAGTAAATAACAAATTGTTGCTGGCAAAAATAAACATTGAACGACAATTGATTTTTCATTTTGGAAAAAATGGTCAGTAATAATGTTATAACATAAAAAAAAAGAAATTCTGGAAACTAAAAACAAGTTTTTAACTATTTATTGATGCCAGTTGAAATGGCAAATGTCTTTATTGAACAATCATTGCACATCTGAAAAAAACCTCCATCATAAATACAGATGATTAATACATATGAGTATAAAAAAAACATAATTTGTAAGGAACGAAAAACGATTGTACGTGTACGATACGGTTGTTTTGTCATGATTGTACGATAAAAAAGAACATCCTTGATGTAAAGTCAAGCATCCATCCGAAACATTTATTGATGATTGAGCGTTGTAACCTTTTCAGATGAAAGCTACTGTCTCGCTTTCTATTTCAATGATGATTATTGCCTTTGAAATAAATCTTTTAATAATTCAGTATTTGTTAATATAAACTAATTCTTCATGTTATTAGTCGGTATGATGCAAAAATTACAACATTCAATGGTGATGAAGTTATCTAGTCTTATATTATCAAAAGAAGAAAAATATATCTCATATTGTAAAATAGTATTTTGTAGAGTTTGAAACACAATCTTTAGTATTTTTTCTGTATTTGACTCGAAAATTCATTCTCTTGAAATTTCATCAGATCTATTTTGAAATATCATCTAGTGACAAATGATTGTGTTTTTGGTTGAAATCTTGTCTTTCTTCACTGATATAGTTACATTTGTAACGTGTTTTTTTCTTTCGTATATCCTCACATATTGACATAATACGTCTTAATAAATGTGTGTGTGTATCTATTTCATTGGATATTGTATATAATGGCCTTAACTAACTCATATCTGCTAGAAAAATCGAGAGAACGAATTATTTTTTTTTGTTTTTAAATTTCTTTACTTAAAAATTCGATTATCAATAACAAACACTCATATATATATGTTTTTTTAGTCAATAAAGATATTTGAATTTTTATTCTTGTTTGAAATTGTCTAGTTATTGTAGAAAATGATTCATATATATATATATAAGCCTTTTATACTTATGAAAAAATTGTATTCTTAAACTAATTATTCATTTCTATCGTTAATTCAAAACAAAAACCTTTTATATTCTTTAAGTAATCACATAATAATATTTTATTGACAACACATCACCAATATGTATGCCCTCGATAATGTCATCCATTGTTTTTATCAATACAAAAAAAAACTACGCATTTTTAACGAGTATTAATTGCTTACGTATACTCTATGTGATCAAATACGACAAATTTAAGGAAAGATAATCTTGTTTATAAACAAGCTAATTACTTAATAATAATTTTATAAATAAACAGATAAAATAAATATCGTACTACGTTTTGATCAGCATATAAAAACGATCAAAATCGTTCATGTTTTTTTCTATCAACTAAAATGCAGAATGAAAAGTTATTTTTTTTTACAAGAATATTACAAATATTCTTTTGTATTTTTTTTTCTAAATATTTTTGAATATTTTTCTAAAACATTGACCGTTCGAAATGTGTGCATGTGTGTATTGCTCTTATATTTTTTATGCTTATCATAGTTTTCCGATCGTATCAACCGTATCATTTATGACCAACGATCAACATTTGTCAAATGAACGACACAGGACACAAAAACAGAAAAATTCGATAAAATGTGCATGATGACACAAAGATCACATTTCATGCGTCAAAGAGAAATTGAGAAGAAAAAAAAAAAAAGAATACAATAAGACGGATTAACAGATAGAAATATTAATAGAGATATAGGATATTGATTGATTGCATACTCGCACAAGCCACCGTTGAAAAGATTTAAGAAGAGAATAGATATAAAAAATAGCACATCTAAACTCATCATACAAGCCTTTATTGAAAGAAAATAAAAGTTTTTGTTCTTCGTTTTTTTTTTTGCTTTTGTTGTTTTGTAATGTTATTTAGTTTATTGTGATGTAAGACCCATGTTGTTTAAGGTTCTCTCGACTGTTGCTTGATCAGGAGCATTACGTACATGCACTCTTGGTGGTGGTACAGGAACAGGTGGTAATACTTTGGTCAATAAAGTAGCCTGAAAAAAAGAAATTTTTTGTTTAAAATCTATATTTTTATTTTACATAATATAAATGATATTTACTGGAACGTGTTTTGGTCGTGGAGGTGGAGCTTCACGAATAACTAATGGTGCTTGTTCAGGTGGTGGTGGTGGTTGTATGCGAACAAAAAGAGGAGGTGGGACTGGAGCTTGAGGAGGACGAACCTTTTAAAATCCATATGTGTATATGAAATGATTAAGGTTTTTTTTTTTTTTAATCAAAATCTTACTTCTTTTATGATAACTGGACCAGGAGCTGGTGGAGCAGGTGGTTTATAGTAAGCTAAGTTAATTTTTTGTACGTATGTAACTGGTTTTGATTTCTTTTGGATCACGACTGGATTGGGATCATGAAAGAATTTATCATTACCTGGTGTTTTCAATGGGCCAAAAACTTGAACGAAACCGCCACCAGGTGTTGAAAATTGTAATGATGGATTATCAGCAAGACCAAATTGTGATGGTGTAATTTTTTGTGTTACATCACCATTCATTACACTAGCAACTGGATCATGTAATACTGTACTACCATATGGTGTTGGTGTAGCTAATGGTGCTGGTTTTTGAGCAAGATGAAGCATCTCTTGAAGATGAACTGATGGATAAACATGTCCAACACGATCAATGGCAACCATGATGAGATTTATTTAAGATGAAAAATAAAAACAAATAAAAAATAAGGGTACTATAAACCAACCAGCTTCAAAAAAAGCGTCTATACATTAGTAAACATCGCTTTTTATACTCCCCTTGGATAATCGAATATTCTCGAGGAAAAAAAAATCGATCGTGGTAGCCCTTTTTTTTTCCTCTCAAGGTTGTTAATATCTACAACTATACTGTTAATTGATGGGTATCTATTCGTTGCATATATTCATACACACAAAACCTCATTTTGTCTTTTTCTCTTTTTCTTTCTTCAACGCTTGCATACATCCTTCACCTAATATATTAATCATTTCTTATAAGAGTTAACCCGATGTTCATTCATCCGTAACTATTACTTAGAGTCAGCCACAACATCATCGTGTTGTAAGTAAAGACTAGAGAAAAAAAGAAGAAAAATCAAAATCAAAATAAAACAACTAATTCATCTGTTGACATTATCAATCGTTTTGATTTTTTTCTTTGTATTTGTTAACGATTTTAACAAAGACAATAAAGCATAAATGCTTTGCCTATTGTTTCATTGAGGTAGGAAAAAAATAATAACCTTGATACTCTATGAGTAATCGAAAATACATTGACGTTTTCTATTCGATCTATAAGCAAAACATACGATTATACTTCAATATACAGCCACAAAATTTTCATATATTCAAGTACATACTAATAAATTTTATTCTTTTACTGTACAAAAAAACTTGCGTCACAGTTCATCGCTCCTATGAAAAAAAAGACGGCTGATGATATTTTTTTTTAAAAATCGATGCTCAACAACAACACATTTTTTTTCTTATGTTTTTTCGTCATTAGTAATAAATAAGAGACAGATCTAATTACGACGCAAAAAATAAAATTATTGTATAAGAGTATCACAGGTAATATGTGATGACGAATATAAAAATGTTTATCAGAAATGAATTTCGATATTTGTCTTGTTGTCCATTCTTATGATTAAAATTATCGAAATCAGTATAATTTGATTCCAATATAATAGCTGTACGTTTCCATCGAGATAAATGAGTATATGCTTCTGTTGCTATTGCTTCTGATGATGATGATGTACCATGTTTACATTGAAGCCACCATTCAGATATTGGACGAGGATATGTTGGATAAGAATCATCAACCTTTTCACACAAAAAGAAAAAAGCAAAAATTAAACAAAAAAAATAATTGTTTGATTTTTTTTTTTTTTTTTTGTTAAAATCCATTTAATTTACTTGATGTTTAATATGATCATATCGATAATAAGATTTATAAGAAAAAAAATATGTTCGACCATTAATCCATTGTAATGCACTTGTTATTTTTTCTCCAATATGTAACCAACGTGATACAAATTGAGGATAATCATTATCAATTGAACTAGTAAATTCTACATTTTTATTTAAACGCCATATCATAGCATCTTTAATAAAATATGTATGATTATCACCACTATAAATAAAAGCAGCATTAAGATGACCAGTAAAAAAATGATGTTCATCAAGACCACGAAAACCATCACTAATTAAACGTGGATAACCTGCTTGTAATTGAAAACGATTTGTTTTCCAATAATGTTTACCCTAAAAATAGAGAAAAAAAATAACACATACAAAAAAATAAAATTATCAAAAAATTTTTACTTTAAAAAAAAATATCTGTTGATTAGGCCATGTTAAAGCTGTATCTATTCGATCAGGTATTGTTTGCCATATACCACCTTCCCAACGACCAAACATATCATGAATTAATTTTGGATATTCATTATCCATGGATAATTTTGAACGTCGATAAACGAATTTATCTATGAAATAAGAAAAGTTAAAAAAAAAAAGGAAACATTTTTTTTGTTTTTTATTTTGATTTCAATATAGTTTTATTTTATATGCCTTTAAATATATATGTATCATCATCGATTGTTATAATAGCATCAAATTGAGGATCAAGACATAGAGCAGAATTTTTGTTTGATGATTTAACGGATGGAGCCATTTGTTTTGATACAGCTTGATAAGTTTCAATACTATTTGATAATGGTGAAGAAAATGATTTTGATGGTTTTCCTCCTATTGAGTGAATAATTTATTTTAATAATAAAAAGAAAAAAGAAGAATTAAATATTAAGAAGATATACCATATAATGCTTGAATAGCTCGAATATCATCTTCTTGTAAAGTAAAATTTGGTGTATAACCTTTGAAAACTTAAAACAAAAACAATTAACATTAATATACAAGTTTTTTCTTAAATAGAAAAATTCAACATTTCAAAATACTATTGATTATTTTTTCCACTATTAAAAATAATCTCATCCTCTTTCCGAAGAACGACTCATCAGAAAAATTTCAAATTTTCAAGACAAATAGAACAAAAATTGTCATAGACTCAAAGTGTTCGGATGCTATCTTCTATGAAATACTGTAATCACAATTTTCACCCATGTTTCTTCAAAATATTATGTTCGATGAAGCAGAAAAATTTAGTACTGGTAGTAGAAATTGTTTAGAGTAAAATTTGTTTTTTGAAACAAAAGATAATACTCATGTCAAACAATGTATAGTATATTTCCAAAAATGTTTCAGTTCGATACGATGTATTACACTAGAGAAACGAAGGCGTTTGTGGAAGTTGATTTGAGACAAAATACGACTTACTACTTCCGTTATGTAAATTTGATTTGTTAACGTTGAAAGGCAATTTTTTGCATTCCAACATATATTTACGATGAAACTACCTGAAGTAATACTCGTCGTTTGAGTTCATATTACACTCACAAGAAAGTTCCGGTGAGACTCGAGAGAGGTCGTAAAAGAGTTGGTGCCGATGCACCTCTAGAATCGAGTTATGATCGTTTTACTAAATTTAAGATATTTCGATCTAAAGTTTTTACCTATAATTAGATGGAATGACTGTGAGAATATCCTGAAATTCATAATGAAAAAGACTGTTCCTTTGTCAAGGTATTAAATTTTCAAAAAAAAACAATTGTTTCTTACAAAAACTGAGTTTACTTGTAGATTCAATATCTCGACAAACGAACAGTCTTTTCCATTCAAAATTTCAGGATTTTCTACTAATCCTTTGACCTGTTTATAGCGTAAAATTTCATATCGAAATTCTATTATTTAATCTCTCGATAAATATCTAATGTTACATCGAAAACTTAGTCAAACAGTCATAACTAGGTTTCAGAAACCCCATGAAAATAAATCCTTACTGGTTACAATTTTGAATTAAAACAAAAGAAGAAAAATACATCCTTAAAAATTACACATACAGGGAGCCATAATAGCGTCTGGTTTATTTGAATGTTCTAATCCTAATGAATGTCCAAATTCGTGTGCAGCAACTTGAAAAAGATTGACACCATCTGTACCTTAAAGAAAAAAACCAAGATATTTCAATTATTAAATTCAATCAATGAATTTAAACATACTTTTCAGTGTCCAATATTCATCATTATCAAAATGAGCATCTCCACCATATTGAGGAAAAAATGCATGACCAAGTACATTACCAGGTCCATCAAATGGTTCTGTATCACCATGATCACCTATTTCAAATGATATTCTAATATCTGTTTTAGGATCTAAATTATTAGATTTTTGTTCATCGTATTTTTTTAATTTTCGATGTTCAAATTCAAGACTTGATGCACTACTCCATAACTAAAATGAATTAAGAAAAACAGAAACAACTTTAAATGAAAACAAAAACAAAAAAAAAAGAACCAATGTCAAACCTTTAAAGCTTTTGTTAATTCAGCATCAACAAATTGTTGAGGAAATGTTGTTGGATATTTAACTATACGAAATGTTAATGGTTCATTAGATGGCCAACGACTTCCTAGAATAAGAAAACGAAAAAGAATTTTCAAATAAAAACAAAAAAAAACCCTAATAAAATAATTTCAATTTCATATACCTTGAAGAATATAACGTTTTCTTCTTTGAATACGTCGAAGATCTTTATTACCACAACGTGGTTCACGCATTTTTTGCCATGTTAATTCATCAATGATACCTGTTTGATTGAGACCAACAAAACGTTGAAATGCTCGAACAGCTGATGATGATATATCTAATGATGAATCATTTGTTTTTATATAACCAAAACGATTTAAAAATTCCTAAAAAAAAATTAAAAGAAAATCATTTTCAAAATGGAAAATTTTTGTTTGCTTTCTTTTTTTTTCCTTAAATTTACTTTAGCATAGAATAAACGATTATTTTCAACAAATGTTAGACAAATATGTAAATGTTGTAGTATGAAACTGATGAGAAAAAAGAGATCGAACGACACGACGAACCTCATGTCTTCTCACTGATGATGCTGCCATGAGCCACAATTGGTTGATAAGATAAAACAACAATGTGTGATTATTCAATCACACAAAACTATGTTGATCTCTTCTTTTTTTTTTGTTGCCTACTTCGATTTTGACTTTATTTTGACCGGATAAGACAACAAAAAAAATAGAAGAAGAGTGCACATAGGATTGTTGCCTAATTGAAATTCCGTTTGATGAATGAGTGAACGTTATTTAATTTTATTCACTAATATAAAGTATGTAGAGAGTATGAACAAAACAAGGAAAGAAGATCTTATGCAATGAGTAATCAAATTCTATGCGGAGACGTTTTCTTTTCTTTTTTCCTTTTTAGTACGTGTATAAGTTGGGAGGCAATATCCTTAATAGTTAATCCCTACTCGCCTTTTTTCTCTCGTTCAATTTCTCTCCCTCCTATTTGACATATCCATGCGATCACACGATTGTTCACTTTTTTTGCACTATTGATGATCTTTGCTTTGTATATACATATATATGTATATAAAAGTATATATGTACATGTATGTTCATATGTAATTGCTCTTGTAGATCGAATGATCAGCTTATAATTTTTAATGAAGCGCGTGTTCTTTTTTGTTTTGTTTTTTTGAATAAATTATGGATCAAATTGAAGAACGAAGATATAATTTCGTTCAAATCTTTAGAAGATCATGTTGTTATTTTAATTGAGGAAAAAAAAAGTTTGACCTTTTTATGATAAGAAAGTTAAAACCATTTAATCCTAAATAGTATTTCTTTTCTATTATAATATGGTTATAAAATAGAGAAATCGTAATACATAAGATTTTTTTTCTAAGCTTCAACAAAGGCTTATAAATAGTTTGCATGTTTTTATTTTCTCTTAAATAAATATTTTCTATTTATTCATACATTTATGTTTTGTATAGTTTTGTTTTTTTGTTATATGCATGATTAAACCAAAACAGACTTATTTAAATTGATATATTTATTTTGGTTTTCTTCTATATTTATTTTATATAAAAATTCAATAGCAATTAAACCTATAACACGAAAGTATTTCCATAAAATATTTGTTCATTTTCCGGCACTTAAAAGCAATTATTAAAAGTCAAAAGTAGTCGATAGAAATCAAAACTTGGTGTTCTTTCGAAATATATGTGCAGAATTTTCTTTTGATGTGAACTTTATGAACTATGAGAAGGTTTTTTTAATTGACCAAAATGATTGTAGGTATAGAATTTTATTTTGTATTTTGACTAAAATGTTTTTAAATAAAAAAAAAAATGTAAAATGATTCTTATAATAGTTATTTTTCATTTTATTTTTTTGCACTGATGATTAAAATATTTTATTTTAAAAAAAAGTAGCTGTTTGAAACTTTACTAATTGTAGTAGTTTTTATTGTAGAGAATTGAATGCTGTACAATAATTATCGAGTTAAAACTACTTCAAAATACAAATTGCGCAAAGTTCTTCATTTTGATTAGTACAGACAAACATCTGGAATCTATTAAAAAATTTTCTCATACTTAACCAAGTTTACTTCAAAAGAAAATTTTGCATACTTATTTCTAAAGAGCACAAAATTTTGATTCTAACTGACTGATTTTGACTCTGAAAAATTGCTCTTAAGGGTCGGAAAAGTGAGTAAATATTTTATGCAAAGACTTTCACGCCATAGGTTATATCTAACTAATGTGTCCTCATCAGAATTAAAGAAGCATGAGTATAAAATCAACAACAACAGACATTGATCTGCGATTTTTAACAATTGAAAGAAGAAAACTTCGAATACTTTTTTGACTTACAATACATACCACCAAATTATTTTAAAATTCATTATCGTTGCAAAATATTCAAAATGAATGCATGAAAACAATGGTTAGTTTTAATGAAATGTTAATCGGAAGTTATAACATTTGTTTAAAAATCAACAGAATTCTATACACTTTGATTGAATAGATATGTTACACAGTATAAAGATATGAAAAGATAATTATTTGAATCGTGCTTTAAACTATAGATTCAAAGTCTCTCAATCTGAAATACATATAAAAATCAAAATTACATCAAACCGAAATACTATTTTCATGCATTTTTTTTTCAAATATTTAGTAAAAAGGATATATTTTAAAGTAATATTCTCTTATATTGTATGTCTAGAGTTCTTCTCTTTTAATTGCTGAGAACTGTAGATGGCTAATTATTACTATTATCGAGCTATTGAGTTTATTCCTACTCTTGTTTAATTCTGGAATGGAGATTAGTTGAAAAAAAGCGATCAAAAACAGATCATTTTGCATGACAAAAAAAAACAAAAAATAGCAATAATATAATAGGAGGATATACTATAATAGAATAAAGTCATGTTTTATTACAAAAAGACTATCATGACATATTCAATAATATTTCTATGCATGTTAATATAGAAGAAAAATTTCAAATGTTATTTTGTTAGATTAGATTGAGTTGAATGATTTTATTGTAAAATCAACAAATGACTAGTTTCTTAATAACTATAGAAAATTTATGTTTGTATTTAGCTTCGATGATAGACTTATGTGATCAAGATAAAAATAGAATAAATATAGAAAAGCAAAGAGCATTTCAAATTGACTTTTTTTTTCCGCTTTGTTTAAAATGACACTCGGTGTCTTGTTCTATTCTTCTTTTATTTGCCATCGGTCTAAGTATTTTCGAATGTTCTTTTTCAAACACACATATATCACAATTAGCACAAGTTCTCTCTCAACCGATCTTTTTTTCTACTTCAACTAAACTCGACAATAGAAGACGTGTGCATACGCACGGCTACTAAAGTACTAATATGCAATTCCTTTTTCTATTTGTGTCTCTGCGTTTTTCTCGCATGCTTTTTATTCTGCCTTTCTTTTTCTTTGTTTTTTTCTTACATACGCCGTTCGTTTAACTCATAGTATATTATTTCATGATTATTACTATCATTTGTTATTCCGTATGATCATCATTAGTTGTTATTGACATTATTTTTAACTCAGCTTTACGCTCATTTTGCTCATTAAAATAAATTCTAACATTTCATTGAATTTTTGGTAAGATCAAACTTTTTTTTTTCAATGCGCAATATAATATATTTTTATCTAGAAAACATTCTTTATTGTTACTTCAGATTTTACGACGTATATATCCCTATAAATTGAGTTATTTGTTTTTTTTTATGCGGTAAAGTAATGATAGTCTATCTTTACATTTTTTTTCTCTTTTTCTTTTCTATTCGTTTGTAAAGAAGGTCGTCATATAAGGTTACTGCATATTAATCATTTGCGTACTTTGTTTATATACACCTATTCTCGTATTCAACTAATCATGACAGATAAACCAAATGATAACCAAGCTGACGAATGGATACGTATATTAGATATGAAACCACATAAAGAAGGTGGATTTTATTCTGAAACATATCGTTGTAATGATCAATGTGCACTTGAACGTTATAATAAACAGATTCGTTCATGTTCAACAGCAATTTATTATTTACTTAAATATCCTGAATCACCAATAAGTATTTTTCATCGTATAAAAGCTGATGAAATATGGCATTTCTATCAAGGTTCATCATTAATTGTACATGAATTAGATGAAGAAAATTCATCACATACTGAACATATATTAGGTAAAGATTTAAGTAAGAATAAAAATGTTCGACCACAAATTCTTATTCCTTATGGAAAATGGTTTGCAGCTGAATTAATTAAAACAAATATAGATGATTTCAATAATAATTATGTTTTATGTGGATGTACTTGTACACCAGGATTTGATTATAATGATTTTGAATGTGCAAAAAGATCATATTTAATTGAGAAATTTCCAAATTTTAAAGACTTAATTATTCGTTTAACACCATCCGAGTAATTATTATTCGTAATTAGCTTTTTTTTCTTTTTCATCTTCCTTTTTTTGATTTATAATTATCATCAAACCATCTGTTAAGTCTTTTCTCTATTTCTTTTTTTTCTAGATAGAAAAATATTTTTAATTAAATTTATGAATAATCAAATGCAACATGAAGAAGAAAAAAAAGAAGATATATTTATCCTATTTATATCTTTAATTACTGTCTTATGGTAGAAAATAGAAAAATATATTTTTAGATATTCATCAAAGAAACAAAAACTAATGTTTGTTTGTATTGCAGAAGTTCTGTGAGAATTTTGAATAAATATAAAGTGTTTATGTGATTTCTTTTTTTCTTTAAAACTCAATTGAAAATTAATATTAAAGGATTAATAGGAAAGAAATTTTCTTTGAAAAAAAAAATATTCAAAAAATTGTATTATAAAAAGAAAATATGTAAAAACTTTTAAAACAAACCTTTAATAATAAATTGTTTTTTTTTGTATTTGATATGATTAAATATATAAAAATTAATAAAACAAATAAAACGTTAGAATTTTTGTAGAAATATGAAAAATAAACATAAGATTTTGAAAGATTGATATTATATAGTCAGATGTTAAAAGAATACAGATAAATAATATTAAGTATATTTGCTAGTCTTAGAGTAAATATATAGCAATATTTTTGTTGTTTTTTTTACTAGATAAAAATAAAAATGAAAGAAAACTTGTTTGTTCTACGTTTTTGAGGTCGCCCTATGGCAATATTAGAAGATTTATTTTAAAATTTGAGATGTCACTTTATATATATCCAATCGAATCAATAGTATATTCTTTAAACTAATAATACTTTTTATTGTAGCACTTTTCTTTTAAAAGAATCATCCGGAGTCCTTCCTTGCTATTCTTGTTGTTGTTGTTGTTGTTTTTCTTGTTAGTCGTTATTGTTATTATTCTTATTTCTCTTCTTTTCTTCCTTTCTTTCGTCTATATACGGAGAGAAAAAGATGGAGAGGAAAAACAGGAGAATGGTTTATATGTGCGCGTGACTAAAAGAAAACCTCCACTTCATCTCTTTTTCTTTACTTGTTTATTGTTGATATTCTACATTGCGGTCGTCGTAAACGTTATTATTCATTTGTACAGTCAGAAATATGTATATATAGATAGTAATGATAATATATTATCTTTCTTTTTGTATCTTCTAGAAATAAAGAGGAAAAAAGCCATCGACCAAGAGAAAAAAAAGAATGCATGTTTCACATACTTCATCAAATTCAAACAATAATAATGCTACTAATAATAATAATAATTCAAAATTTTATTTAACTTCTGAACAAACAGATAAATTAAAAGTCATATTAGATCGTTCGATTCCAATATGTTCATCACCACCATCATCATTTCCAACATTAAATTTAACACCACGATGTTTTCTTCGACAAGTTTTATATAAATTAAAAGAATATTCAATTGATATAACAAGTATACGTTTAAATGGTGGTGCTGCATCTTATGTACTTGTTAATGATTCAAATTTTGTTTATCGTGATATTGATATATTAATACATATTAAAACTCCATTATCATCTGAACAAAAAACAACATTATTTTCATCAAATAATGAACCATATTTATGTGATGTATGGACAATAATTAAATATATTATTTGTTCATGTTTATTAGAACATATTACAAATATAAAAACATCTGAACAACAATCTCAACAATATACACATCATTATTTATCAACTATACTTGATGCATATGCAAAAAAAAATATTAAAATATCATCCGAACAAGATTCATGGGCATTATTATCATTACAAAATTATTCTGGACAAAATCTTGAATTAAAATTTGTTGAACATCTTAAACGACAATGGCAATTTAGTGTTGATTCATTTCAAATTAATCTTGAACCATTATTATATGAAAAACAATTAAATAATTATAAAACTCGTAATTTATCACATATATATAATTGTTCATCAATAACAAAAACAATAAAAACAAAAAATTTAATTATTGATGCTATTAATGGTTTAACAATAATAAAAAAAGATTATGATATTGATGATGATGAAAGAAATGATTGTAAAAATAGTAATGAAAAAAATTATCAAAATAATATTTTATTAACAAGTACAAGTCCATTAAGCTTTGGATTTTTTACACCATCATCATCACCTGATACAATTGTACAAGAAAATAATATTGAATGTCCAACATTAGCTACTATTACAACTATTTCAACATCAAATAATAATAATAATTGTGAGTATTTAATTAAACGAATATTATAGAGTATATCGATAATATTTTTAATCGATCTTCAAACACGTAGATCATAATATTGAATTTTAAAAAAAAACCTAATGAATTGTAGAGTATTGATTTGAGAATAACTTGATATGTTCTATAACCTGAGTAGATCAAAAATGATTTAAACAAAATGTTTTGTTAATCTGGAAAATAAGTATATACGATAATTTAAAATCCATTAGTTTTTGATGAATAAAACGACTGATTACTTGAAAACATTCTGTCGTTAGTAGGTTTTAATTACTAGTTCCTCGCTTTCTCCATAGTATCTGGAGAATAGTTTATTAGAGAAATTTGACATTTTCAAGACAGATAGAAGAAGACCAGTCGAGCAAAAGATGTCATAGACGCAAAGTTCTAGGATACTGTCTTCTATGAGATATTAGGATCATAATAACCTCAATAGGGTATCCTCGTTTTTCTGCAATGCAATGTTCTGTCGCGCAGAAAATTGTTCTACAAGCGCCAGAGGCAGTTTGATATAGATATTCTTTTATATTTTTGTTGTTCAAATAAAAATAATCAAAAATATCGAAGATGCACTAGAATATGCATGTTTTTTTTTGAAAAGAGTTATTAAAAAATCAGTAGAACAATATTTTTTGAAACACAAAGGATCTATTCATTCCACACAGTATATAGTATATGTACAAAAAATTTTCAATTTCATCAAATGTATTAAAGCAAAAAAACGGAAAGATTTCTGCACTTTTTCTTTTTCATTTGAGGAAAAGGCGATTCGCTATTTTCGTTATGTAAATTTAATACTTTTAACATTTAAAGACTATTTTCGGATCGACATATGTACTTAAATAGAGAGATACTATTTCAGACTATTTTTTATTTTATCTGTGTACTGTTTGGTTTAGTTCGTGATGCGTTTCTTTTCTTATTTCATCAATTACAGAATCATAGTTTAAAACTAAATCCTATAGTGTATTATTAGTGATAGAGTATGTCACAATTAATAATCCAATATATTGAAATCATGACTGTTCGATGACTATTTATGATTATTTATAGAAATACATCAAACTCTCATGACATCATATCAATATTTATTGATGTGTATATGACGTGATTTTTTCTTGTTGGCAAATGAAATCGTTGCTAAGAAACCATTCGCCTACAACCTGTGTACATAGAAAAACAACTTCAGTGTGACGCTCAGGTGATAATATTTTAGCAAACTTAGATCTAATCGGAATCATATGATCATATTTAGATGCATTTAACTATACAATAATTCTTTTTAGATACTTAACATTTTGGGTAATATCTCATTGTTCGTATGTTTCCTGTCGACTTATAGAATAAACATATTCTAATGAAAAGTAGTTTTTATTTTTCTATGTTCAATAAATAGAATTGCCTTGGATTGATAAGATGAAAAAAACCTGATGGATATTATTTTTGTTATCAATGTTGAAAATTAGTCGTAGAAAATTTTATTCATTTTAAAAACAAACAAGATTTTTATTGTATCTTGAAATATATATATATAAAAGCTCTTCATTCATTAGAATAGAAAAGTATTTTCATCATGCTCATATTTTCTATTAAAGAAAAAATTTTTAATATCCATCAAAATAAAAAAGAAAATAATATTGATAATAACCTATGTGCATCATTCTATTCATAATCCATTTAGAAAAAATCGATTAGACAAACATAAGAAAACTCTTGATACTGAAAAAAAATCTTGTCATTTCTAGGACATTGTTTTTTTTCTTTTCGTTCTTTGACGTTTTTTTTTTTTACCTATCATTTCTATATACAGTAGTACAGATAATGAGGTTAGTCTAAGTACAGTAATAAATGTCATGTACAATAACACATCAGTGGTTATTTATAATATTTTATATGATTAAACGATGATTAATGTTAATTACTTTTCATCTTAATAATAAAAGTAAGGTGTATAAAAATAAATATAAGATATAGATCTTATATGAATGATGACAAACGTCATTATCAAAGCCAAGTGCACGGAAAATATATTATGAAAGACAATTAAATAATATACATATATTAAGAAAATTGATTTGTCATTTACATTCATATACTTTAATGTACATAAGTCAATAGTCGTTAAGATAAGATAAACGATTAAAAAGTCTATCTTTTCTATATTGATTGTAACATAATGGATGGAAAACTTCGGTTTTTTTTTTTTGATATAGTTTTGTCATGCAATATTCTAGAGATTTTATTTTTCTTTTGTTATCACGAGAAAAATATATATAAAAGAATTTGATTGGTACCATGTCCTGAAGGCTACTAATTTTAGTACGAAACATATTTCCGGAAATTCTACTGCAACTTCCGTCAAGTAGTTCCTTTGTTTTTAATTAGTTTTTATTATATATTTTTCAATATCATACAAAAATAAAGCCATTCTTTATAATGAATATTCTTGTATAAAATTAAAATAATGGATCTTGCGTGCAAAAAACTAAACAATAGATAGTTCTATTAATAAAAAGAAAATAAACGAAAGATTTCAATAACTTCTTTTTTAAAGTAGAATTTAGTTATTTTTTTATTTTGATGTACTATTCTATTCTTATGTTATTAAACTTGAAATAAATGAATAAGAAAGAGAATCGTTCTCATTAAATTAATTTGTTTTCCTAACATTTTTGTGATCTTCAAAAAAAATTTTTTTCTTTTGAATTTTTTTGCATTCGA